CCCCCTCCCAGGGTCAGGTACCCCTTCCACTGCCCCAGGTTGCCCAAAGCCCCATCCAACCTGGCCTTGAACACTTCTAGGGATGAGGCAGCCACAGCTTCTCTGGGCAACCTGTGCCAGTGCCTCATCCCCCTCAGAGGGAAGAATTTCTCCCTTCTATCTAATCTAAATCTCCCCTCTATCAGTTTAAATCCGTTGCCTCTTGTCCTATCACCACATGCCCTTGAAATAAGTCCCACTCCAGCTTTCCTGTAGGCCCCCTTTCTGTTACATGATCACCCTGGAGCCTTCTCTTCTCCAGGCTGAACAGCCCCAACTCTCTCAGCCTGTGTTCTTAGGAGACGTGCTCCAGCCCTTGGATCATTTTTGTGGCCTCCTCTGGACCTGCTCCAACAGCTCCATGTCCTCCTTATGTTGGGGACCCCAGAGCTGAACGCAGCACTGCAAGGGTGTCTCAGGAGAGAAGAGCAGAGGGGCAGAATCCCCTCCCTCGCCCTGCTGGCCGCACTTCCTTTGATGCAGCCCAGGATGCAGTTGGCTTTCTGGGCTGCCAGTGCACGTTGCCAGCTTATGTTGAGCTTCTCACCAACAAACACCCCCAAGTGACCTCTGTGCTGCTCTCAATCCATTCTCCGCCCAGCCTGTTCTTGTGCCTGGGATTGCCCCGACCCATGTGCAGGACCTTGCACTTGGCCTTGTTGAACTTCATGAGGTTCTCACAGGCTCACCTCTCCAGCCTGTCCAGGTCCCTCTGGATGGCATCCCTTCCCTCCAGCATGTCCACAGCACCACACAGTTGGTGTCACCAGCAAACTTGCTGAGGGTGCACTCAATCCCACTGTCCATGTCGCCAAGAGCACCGGCCCCAGTACCGACCCCCGACGAATGCCACTTGTCGCTGGTCTCCACTCAGACATCAAGCCATTGACCACAACTCTTTGAGTGTGACCACCCAGCCAGTTCCTTATCCACCAAGTGGTCCATCCATCAAATCCATGTCTTTCCCATTTAGAGACAAGGATGTCATGTGGGACAGTGTCAAATGCTTTGGACAAGTCCAGGTAGATGATGTCAGTTGCTCTTCCTTTATCCACCAGTGCATCATAGAAGGCTACCAGATTTGTCAGGTAGAAGTTGCCCTTCTATATATATTTGACAAATACCATATTGGCTGTCACCAATCACCTCCTTTTTTTCCATGTGCCTTAGAATAGTTGCCAGGAGACTCTGCTCCATGATCTTACCAGGCACAGAGGGACAGAGGTGAGGCTTTGGGGAAGAATAAATATAGCTTCTGTAACAGGAAGGCATGACTGGCTGTATTCTTTGAAGAATTAAGCAGGCAACTTTACAAAGTGTTGGTCCCCAAATTCACTGCTACCTCTTAAGAAGTAGCTGGGAACCATTACAGTGCTGCATAGCTGCCAAAACAATTGCAGAATTCTTAGAGAAGGAGTTGGGAACCAAATCAAATGTCATTATGTGCTCACATCCAGAATGGTAGTGTACAATTCTACTTACTCGATCTCAAAAAAGATGCAGTCGAGCAGAGACCATACCAGTATGGTATTTACGACTGGGAATTGCTTTGGAGGCCAGAGTTATAACAGGTCTCAGGAAGATGTTAGACAATTTACTGAAGACTATGTCCATTAGTAGCTGTTAAAGTTGATGGTCTGGAGAAAACCTCCAGCTCAAAAGTCTCTGAATTTTGACTGATGAAAGAAGAGAGAATATCCTGGGGTATACAAAGATAACCTGTTCTTAAACTCTTCTCACAGCATCTGCAACAGGCTTTATTGAAGTGTATGATTTGTGCTGACTCCTTCTGGCAGTTCTCATGATCTTCTGTTATACTCTCCGTAGTGTTGACCCCAACGATCAGAAGAAGACAGCCTGTTATGACATAGATGTAGAAGTTGAAGATCCATTAAAGGGACAGATGAGCAGTTTTCTTCTCTCAACAGCTAACCAGCAGGAGATTACAGCATTGGACAATAAGGTACTAGCCCATGAGTAAAGTATCCTGTGGTATATATACTCATCGTGTACCTCCGTGGGAGTTTGGTGTCACATGTCAGACAGTAACGTTGTGAGACAGGGACTTCTCAAGTGGATGTGCTTTCAAGGGCTGAATCAAGCACCTGCAATGGGAATACAGAGGGGCGAGTGGCATTCCCGCTTAGGATTTGATCCAGGGCCTGACATAGTTGTCGAGGTGATAGAAGCAGAGTTTGACGGGTAGTACAGTGAGTCCCCTGGCATTCAAGAATCATCTGAACGGTTTGACTGTAACTTTTTATTGAGAGGTCATGGTATCTTGCTAAGTTGCTGTAAGGCAAAGCTAAGAGAGTCTCGTGCTCCAGATGTGTTTTGTGCACGTGCGGTTGCTGAACAGCTCTGCTGTAGGTGCAGACAGGAGAATGCATGGCAGGAAAATCACTCGGAGCGCTTTGGCAGAGTCATTTTCAGGGTTACGGAAAGAGGATCGTGCGCAGCTCAGATAACAGTGTCTGTTGTAAGCAGCGGTGAGCTCTGCGGGCTGTAGTGGGGTTCATGTCCTGGGGACTTCAGCCAGCGTTTGGCACGCGTAAATGGCTGGTTTGGCTCCGTAAGGGATGAGCAAAAGTGGTTCTCGGAACAAGGGAAGAAGAGGTGTGCCATTGTGGACCAGAGGTGATTTATCTGACATACAGTCAAGCCCAGTTTCTGTTTGTTTGTCTCTAGTACAAACAAATATGTTAAACACTAGTCTTCATGCAATTTTAAAGGGTGTTTGGATGCTAGCAAGCCTATGGATTCTGGTAACTTTTGCAGCATCTTTTGGTTTATGGCTCTTGAGAAAGGTCCTTTCCAGCAGGGCAGCTGCTCAGTCTGTGGGTTCCCAGCTGCATAGGCTGTATGCAGCATGCACAGGATTTTTCTGTTTCCAGTCCAGCTCGCCTTTTCCCATGGCTGTATCACCTCTTTTTTAAGCATTTGCTACAGCAGAGGGTGAGCTGCGATTAGTGAAGTCACTGAAGTCACTTGTGGGTAAACGGGCATGGAGTGCTGCATCGCTATGTCTGTGCCACTTCCTGCTGTGCTGCCACCGAGTCCTCTAGTGCAAACTCGGTGCATGACAACGGATTCTCTCCAGCATGGCAGCATCAGTTTCCCAAACAAGCAGTGATTTTAGGTTGACAGCAGCTCTCTTCTGTTAACGTACCATATAGTTGTGCCTACACTATAGGCACATCAAGTGGCCCTGATGGCACAGCCAGATCAGGAGAGGTTTATTTTCTCCCATGTGCCTGGCCACATGAGCTGTTTTGGCAAAATAGGTGCATACATGAAATTAAGCAAAGATAGGTTTACAATCTCAAGCTAGAATTTTTGAGGAACAAGGTAGTAAAAGCTTGCTTTTCTGTGTGTGTATGTGCAAATGATTCATTAACTGCCCTTGCATTGATCATACTTGATTTTGTTATCCAGGATGATTATAGGACCTTGACTCCTCTTTGGAGTCTTCATTCTTCCCTGCTGGTCATTTCTTTCTTAATATTTCTGAAGATATGACTCATTTTCTATACACCTTCCATACTCCTGATTTCTAATTGTTCATACTCCTTTTGCAGCCATCGTGACTTGAATAGGCTTTCTCGTAAGAAAAAGTCTAGAAGTCGTGGCTGTTGTGTGAGTTTATTTAACATGGACTCAATCAGGCAATCACTAGGTATTTTAAGGATGACAGCACGGTATTGAAGATATGATGATGATTAACCAGGGGAATAACTGCTTTCTTGCATTGGGCACTGTTTAAAGACATGTTTATCTAGCATCTTTCCTGATAAAATCCAAGACTTGGCAGAAAGACTGATTATACACAGGAAATTGCTACATTGTGTGGTGACATCACTTAGCTCTTCAGTATTGTGGATAGCATGCCATCCAGCAGTTCAATGCAGGAAGTGAAGAAGAATCCTGTACATACTGGTATTGAAGAAGTACAAATGAAACCAAAATGTAATTGCAGGATTGCGTTTAACTCTCTCTTTGGAGAGAAAAAGCCATGGGAACCTGCACAAGTCTGCGGTGTAGAATTGTCACCTTCGTACATTACAAGAAGTACAAAGATGCTAATGGGGCTGACCTCGGGGGCACTGGAGCATGGGAGGAATTAAATAACGTCTGCCTTCTTTTTTTCTGTCAGATTCATGAGACAATTGAATCCATAAATCAGTTAAAAATACAACGTGATTTCATGCTGAGTTTCTCCAAAGATCCGAAAGGATACATCCAAGACCTTCTCCGGTCCCAAAGTAGGGATCTTAAGGTGAGCTAAGGTTTGAAGAAGAATGAATAGTGGAATCAGAGCGTAAGAATTTTATCTAAATATATAGTGAGTGTATAGCTAAAACATCCAGGATGGAAAATTGGTGGAAGACAGACAATGAGTGGAATAATGCAACCCCAGAGCAGACAGTATCCACGAAAGACAGTTTAGGCTGTATTCCACTTCCAGTGGAACAGTGGTTCTTAATGGGGGTGGTAGAGGGATTTGTGGTCAGACAGTAAGATCAGAGTGCAGGGCTGTGTTGGTGTACTCCATAAAATTAAAGCTATATAAAACTGAGCAGGAGAATCCTATGGTACCGCAACACAATTTGGGTGTTTTCTTAGTTCATAGTTTAATCTTCTTTAAGAAGTAGGCAGATTAAATATCAGCTGCCTTTGAGCTTAGCTTTGAGATGCCCAAGAAATGGGATGTAAAGAAGTTCAATTGTTTGCCAGCAAATAATTTGTTCCTCATAAAAGTTTCACACTTTGTGTCTTTTAACTCAGATGCCTCAAACCAGTGGTATTAATGAATCCATGAAATTATTTTAATAAAATCATTGTGTCCTTGAAATATAAATGTCTAATTTGTAGTCAATAGTCTTCCAAAAATCTACTTTTAAGATTATTCTTATTTATATTGTATTAAAAAGGGGACAGGCATCAGAAAGAATGTTTAAATAAAGCAGCCTTTGGCTTGAAGAGCTTACAAACTAGGGTGTTGTGGAGCTTCTCTAGCTGCATACGTAGAACAGCTGTTCAGTATTCTCCCTGACTGACCACCAGCTCCATAAGGGCCCTTTCTATAATGTTCTGCCCTGGTGGCATCAGAATTGTGATTGCACAATGCTACTCTGCAAAAGGTGCTAGTAATTTTATATTTACCCTTGATTCTGTGATGCAGGAGACATAGTCATCAGAATTTTTTTTTTTTTTATAGAATCATAGAATAGTCTGGGTTGGAAAGGACCTTCAAAGATTATCTAGTCCAATGGCCCTGCTGTGGGCAGGGACATCTTTCACTATATCAGGTTGCTCAAAGCCTGATGATGACATCAGTTGCTCTTCCCGTATCCACCGAAGCAGTCACTCTGTCGTAGAAGGCCGCGAGATTAGTCACGCACAGTGTGCCTTTGGTGAAGCCATGTTGGCTGTCTCTGATCACCTCCTTGCCTTCCAGATGTTCCAGCATGTCTTCCAGGAGGATCTGTTTCATAAGCTTACTGGGCACAGACATGAGGCTGACTGATCGATAGTTCCCAGGGTCCTGTCCTCCTTTTTACCCTTTTTAAAAATAGGTGTGATGTTTCCCTTTTTCCAGTCACTGGGGACTTCACCTGACTGCCATGACTTTTCAAGTATGTTGAAGAGTGGCTTAGTGACTACATCATGCAGTTCCCTCAGGACCCTGGCATGCATTTCGTCAGGTCCCATGGACTTGTGTAGGTTCAGGTTCCTCAAACCTGATCTTCTCCTGTGGTGGGAGGGACTTCCTTCCCCCTTGAGGTTCAGGGGTTTGAGAGATGTGGGACGAGAGATTACCTTTGAAAACTAAGGCAAAAAAAAATGTTTATTAACTTAGCCTTCTCCATATTGGTTGTCACCAGTTCCTTTGTCTTATTTACTGGAGGGAGGGTACATTTTCTTCACTCTTCCTTTTCTGGCCAACGTACCCATAAAAGCCCATATAAGTCTTTGGATCCCTTGCCAAATTCAGCTCCCGCTGTGCCTTAGCTTTCCTGAGTCCATCCGTACACATCCAGGCAGCATCCTGATATTCTTCCCAAGATACGTGTCCCTGGTTCCGCTGCCTGTGCGTTTCCTTCTTACACTTCAGTTTGACTGGGAGGTCCTTACTGAGCCCTGCCAGTGTCCTGCCTTCCTTGCGCAGTGTCTTACATATGGGAGTTCAGAGCTCTTCCACTCTAAGAAAAATGTCCTTGAAGAGCTGCCAGCTCTGTTCAGCTCCTTTGTCCCTAAGGGCAGTTTTCCAGGTGGTCCCATCAACTAATTCCTTAAACAACTTGTTGTTTTTTTCAAATCTTGCTTTCTTGGCAGTTGTGTAGAGACTGAAAATCCAGCTTAGGACTTTGGTCATTTTGGCATTACTAGGATTTTCTGTTCCTCGCATTTCAATAGAGTTATTTTTCCTTAATGCTTTCCCCATCAGAACTTTGCTTGAAATCAAGGCAAGATGTGCTTTGAGATAAGGGCAACACTGGTATAGAGTTGTGCTTCAATCTGATGTGAATACCTGAACAATTTCAAGCTGTTACCCTATGGATGGGTAACTACTGAGGTTCTTTGGATACATAGGTTAATAAAATATACAGTGGCGGGGAACTTTTCCTGGGCACTGGAACTAAACTGTCCATGCTTTTAAACTGTTAGAGATTGTGGCACTTAGCCTGGGCAACTACTGGTGTCCAGAATTATTCCTTTGCACAGTTGAGGAACAGAGGTTAGGAGCTGTTCACGGTTCAGAGTTTGGATGCAACCATCTCGTTCTGGTAGTACACACACATGCCATTCAGTGTCCGTTGGCCTGGAGCTTAGACAACAGTCCTGAACATTTTTAATGTAGTAATGTAGATACATTTTGACTAGGTAAATCTGAATGTTTCTCTGCATGCTAGAAGATAGTGAATAGTGAAAAATGTTTTGATTTTTGTCACAGGTGATGACTGATGTAGTTGGAAACCCAGAGGAAGAACGCAGAGCTGAATTTTATCATGAGCCATGGTCTCAAGAGGCTGTGAGCAGATATTTCTACTGCAAGGTATGAAGGAATTATCCACACTGCTGGCTTATAAATTAATCTTCCTGCCACTGAAAAACTGAATCTGCAGAGCTGTACAGTTTCTCTTTTTCTTTCAGATCCAGCAGCGCCGGCAGGAACTGGAACAATCTCTGGGAGTGCGCAACACATAAGTACTGCTCACAAGATCCCATTGGCATCATGACCACCAAAGCAGTGGACTTTTCAGTGTTACTTAGCTCACTGTTACACACGGACCTGCTTCCTGACTGGATGAAAATGTACCATCAACACACCAGTCAGAACACCAGCTTTAGAGTGACCCTTGAAAATCTTGCCCATAGGAGGTGTCTCAAACCATTCCAGGCTGGAGAAAGCACTGTACAAGTGTCAGCGTTAAAGAAGATTAAAGGTTCATTCGTCAACACGCATCATTAAGTTTTAGCAGGAAGTTCAGGCACTACACAGCAAATCCTAATGGGCTATGCGTAGAATCACGGGTGGCATTGATGGGGGAGATTGAGATGGGTGTTGTAGGAGACTACAGGTGTAAAGAAATAAATGCAGTTCTCATCCTACGTTACTGAAGAGTCTCAAATAGTAACTTCTCTGGAATTAGACAAGATAGTCTTTCTTATAGCTGTGGAATGCTTTATATTCCCAAATAGAGTTTTTATTCCAGCTGGAGCAGTGCAAGAAGCCATCTCACCATGTGAAAGAACAAACTGGGAAGATTTTCGTTTCCTGGAATGAAGAGCCCCTCTGGAAGAAAGTATAGTCAGGACATCTTTTCTGCAGACTCTAATACTTCCTCTGTCCCTCGCCCCTGCAGTGAAAGGTGCACTGAGTTAAGTATCGCTAGATGGGTACGATCAATGTGCTGTACGGAAAGGAGGAGAATTATCCCCAGCGTAAGAGCTTCTTAGGCATCCTTAATAGCAGTGGTGTTGGCAAAGCTGAGGTTGAATGAAGGTATGAGGCATTCTGAGAAAACAAAAATAACTTAATGGTGCTTTGCTGATACCTGCCTTGAACACAGCAGATATTAACAATAAGCTTATATGTAAGACACAAGATTTCTTAAACGTTCCTCTATGTGCCAATAAGGATCAGCAATGAAAAGAACCTCCCTAGTTGTTAAGTTGGTGCAGAATCCAAGGAGCTTAGCTTTATATAACATGGCAATTTTCTCTTTACTTCAGTATGTTAACAGAGGCCCTGGATTGGTCTTGCATTTTGATCATCGGTGAACTGCCACTTACTACGAATTATTTAGTTCCCCCATACATGATACCTACTGGTTACATAGGATGCCGTTGAGTTATAAAGCACTATCAGCCTTAAATAGCACAGAGAACGTATCCCTTGGAAACCATCTTTGTAAATGTAGGACAAATTCAGACTGTGGGAATTTATACCGTATTTACTTGGAAGCAGGGACATCATTAAATCCTTCCCCTCCCCTCATTTTTTGTAGTGCATAGACTAGTTTGTAGTTAATGACCCAACATGATTTCTAGTCAAAAAAGCAGCTACCAAAGTTTAAATCTTTGTCCCGATGATGTGGCACTCAAAATCCTCTTCTAGGTTACTCTTTTTCATCTCCTTTCTTTCACTTTCTTGGAAACAGAATCAAATTCACATGTGGTACAGAAGGGAGGCAGATCTTCTTTCGCCGTAATATTGTTCTTTTCTGCTATCTTTGCCCATGTCCTTCTTAATTGAACTTAAAAATTTCTTCTGTCCAGTCACAGAAGAGATAGACTTCTCTTCCGCCCCTTTATTTAACTCCACCTTTGCTTTCTCATTAACAGTGCCATAGCTTTTACTTTGTCCATTGTGTTGGGAGATGTCTGAAAATTTACATTTGATTGCAGTCATATGATGGCAGTACCGTCAAGCAAAACCACCAGTGTAGGAAAAAGCATAGCTGTACCTCTTCACCTGAGGCCTTTTACCGGGAATGGCTTCATTTGGAACTTTTTTGCGTTAAAACCTCTTTTTACAGAAAAACATGAAATCCTGCAGGCTTTACCTGAGTATAGCGAGGGGCTGTGAGGCTGCCAGCCAGTGAATGACTTGAAATCTTACTTACTTTAGGACTCTACTAATTGGACTACAAGCGAGCATTATGAGGGAAAAGCAGTGGGGGTCATCTGCTACTGTGCTTCCATATTTATTCCGCTGCTGTGTCAGTTGTGTGCATGCTGTCCAGTGTATAAAACTCTTTTCTGTATGTGGTAAACAGAGCAGATACATTCAGGGGATGCGTTCAGTCTCCAGGAATCAGAAACAAAGAGGAAGCTATGCAAAGATGTGAGAAGGACATGGGACAGCCATAGATGCCTGCTGGATGTCTGCCAGGGAATTCTGGGTTTTTGAGAACTTTTCCATTGAAGTGGCAAATACTTGTACAGAGAAATGTCAGTCATGTGCCTCAGCTGGCAGCATAATGGAGTCCAGCTTGCTCTTAGAATCTCTCTGTGGCATTAATTGGATGGATCTCTTTCCAAGTCTCTTTCAGAGCAAATCAATGAAACTAATGTGGTGTTGCTGCCCAGTGTTCACAACAGCATCACTGGAAGGTGAATCTATATGTTAAGCACCAGTTCTGTACTGGTGTGTGTGTGTGTGCACGTGTGTGCACATGCATGAGTCAGCCACTGGATATGGCACTGGAGATGACAATCCAAAATCTAAATTCATATGTGCCACTGTCTGTATTCCTACTGTACATAAACGACTGGTCACCAACAGCGAGTTTTAGGAATAGCTGTCACGTAAACTAGGGTTTGAGATTTTGATGCGTTTTTCCTGTGTTCAGAAGCACTTCAGGCGTTTTACTGAAAAGAATCGTAGAACCATAGAGTCATAGAATCACAGACTGGCTTGGGTTGGAAGGGACCTCAAAGATCATCCAGTTCCAACCCCCCTGCCATGGGCAGGGTCACCCTTGACTACATCAGGCTGTCCTCTGTTCCAGGAGTGCAGCCAGGACCTTGCTTGTTTGCAAAAAAGAGAAATGATATTTGAAGAGAAATAATGGAGCAGTACTGGGAGGAACTGGACCAAATGCTGCTTGGGCATACAAAAATGAAAGGCAGTGGTACGGAACAGGCATGTAATTGTGGCAGATTGTGAATGAAAAATTCATTTTAAGTTCAGGATGGTTGTCTTTTTCTGTGTGCAAAAGATGACAAGAAGGCGTTTTGGAGTCTTCAGTTGCTGCCACAGTACAATAAAAAATTATTCTGTGCATAGAAGTAGTTAATGTACAGATGATAATATAGATTGTTGGTAAATAGAGCACCAAAGTAGGAAACGGTTAAAACAGAGTTCTGGAGTACCAGCAGAAGCGAAATACATCCTGGAGTGCGTGTATCCGCATGGAGAGCAGGTGGCAGAGAGCCGGTCTCCACTGGGATGTAGCGCGGGAAGTGGGTGTGCAGGACAACCAAATGTTCTGCAGATAACTTTGAGACACAGCGTCAAAACATTTTCCACTGTGACCCACAGGGATTCGGTTGTTCATCTTAGGAGGGCTGATGGTTGTAGTGCAGACATTGTTTCAGCTGGCCGGTTTTTTACACCATGTTGTTTAGAATTTATCTTGTGGAAGCTGAGTGAAAGTACCAGTGTGGATATCGATGTTGGTCCATATCCTAGGGCTCCTTATTTTGCCAAAATGCTGGTCAGGCATGGGGTTTGCTTTCGCCTGTTTTTGTGTTGAGAACCCTTTTCTAGCAGTGCAAATAGATGAGGGAGAAAATAAAGTGCTTTTTTCCTGAAGAAAGAGGTCTCCTTTCTGTAACTGCTCTGTTGTTTAATAGGATGTCTGTTCTGCCAGATCTTGTATCATAAACACCTCTTCCAATCTCATTGAAGAAAGAAACTCCATTAAAAAAATGCAACTGTGGGTTTGTGAGAGTGAGCAAATGGGGG